CAGCAGGATTCAAGAGAACATATTGTAGAGATTTTCTATCAGAAATCCTGCTCGAACTTCTGTTATCCCTCCGGATTTGTTCTGAATGAGTTAGAATATATCTGTAAAGGGATTTGAATCTCTCTCAAAAAAAGGGCAAATTTTATTGTGGTATCATATTACCCAGAGTCCAGGATCTGCTGAAGTAGGCAGATTTCCAACAGAAAAGAGAACCAGAGGTGAAGTCTTATTGCAATATGGAAATATTTGAGAATGTATGACTCTAGCATTTTACATAAGGAAAAAATTTTTTTACCATTGCTCTTGCTCTTGATAGCTATTTTAGTCTCATTGTTATCAATTTGCATAAAGTGCATTATAAATATTATTTAGAATCTAAAACTTTTACAGTTTCTTTTCTGAACTACAAGTGATATCTGAAAAATATTAAAAATTTCTGCCTAAGGTTGGCCATTGGAAATTAAAATGTTGAAATTGAGAACTCTCTTGTGGATCTTATTTGATACCAAGAGGCTGTACGGTTCTGTGAAACTAAGTCTGGGCTCTCAGCTCAGAGAAATATGGATTCTGATCTCAACTCAGCGACTTACTAGATACGATGCCTAAAGAAAGCCTCTTAGCTTCTATAAGTTTTGTAAATTTTCCTAGCTATCAAATAAGTTCTCTGTAAGTTTTTCTTAGTTGGAAAATAAGTTAAATCATACCCATTTTTATGAGGCTGTTTTGAAGACCGAGATAAGGAATATTATTAAGGGACTAGTAAATATCCAATACATTATGGCAAATATTTAAAACATTTAAAATATATAGTTATTAGATAAGAGGGTGGCAGCCCATGTGTTTTTTGAAAAGATCAGTCCATGGCTGTCAGCAGGACTAAGAAGAAAAAAATAAGAAGTATATTTATTACTTGATTACTTCATGTACTATTTTTTGCTTCCAGCATTATTTATATTTAATATCATAAATATTTTTCATTTTAAAATAAATGACATAAAATGTTTAATGTCATTATATCTATATTGGTGATTATCCAATCCCAGGTAAGTTAAAACTGTCATTTTGAGACTTTGGCATTTAATAGAGATTAATTCCATTTTTCCATTGAATGTCACATATAAACATCATTTTCCCTTGATATTTGCAGCATTCCCTAGAGATCCAGAAATTGAGACTAGTGGTCTACTAGTGGATGGAAACCCCGTCACTATAAGCTGCAAAGTTCCTCATGTGTATCCATTAGACCGGCTGGAGATTGAATTACTTAAGGGGGAGAGTGTTATGAAGAGTAAAAATTTTTTGGAGGACATGCATAAAAAATCCCTAGAGACCAAGAGTTTGGAAATGACCTTCATCCCCACCACTGAAGATACTGGAAAAGTCTTTGTTTGTCAAGCCAAGTTAAATATTGATGAAATGGAATTTGAACCCAAACAAAGGCAGAGTACACAGACATTTTATGTTAATGGTAAGTGCATGTGTGATGTAGCCACAATTTCTTTTTCATGTTTGCCAGACAATAGTTAACACGAGATTAATAGTTAAAATACTGAAAATAAACTAAAAATAAATGTCAAAATAATGATTATTATAAAAAATCACCCTGACACTGAAAACATCATTTATTAGCCTGTAATTCTATGAGTTGGCGGTTTTGGAAGTGGTCGCGTGGACAGTTCATCTGCTGTCCACGGACTCACTCACGCATTTTCAATCAGTTGGCAAGTAAGCAGGGGCTGGCTGGTCCCAGATGGCCTCACTCACATGTCTGAGGCTTGTTCTGGGATGTCTGGGCCTCCCTTTCTCCACGTGTTGTCTCACCCTCAAGGAATGTGGCCTAGGTTTAGTCACCTGAACTCAGTGTTTCAAGAGAGTAATAATGAAGCAACCTCTTAAGGCTTCGGCTTAAGAGGGTCACTTCTTCTCTGTTCCATAGGTCACAAGACCAGCTTAGATTCAAGGGGTGGAAAGTAGACTCCACCTTTTCACAGGAGATTCAAATAATTTGTGGTCATGTTTAATGCACCATAAATGTCAATACATACTATTATTAATCATCTATTCTCTGATAGCAAGAGAGTTTCTACAGAACTTATTTCCTTTAGAAAATATCCATTATGTATCTATATTCTACTTTCTATCACTCTGTATCTGCTAAAGTAAATGGTGGTTATAAAGGTTTATAAAACTGTTTTAATCCATAGAATTCATAGACCAGTTTTACAACATTATTAAAAATCTACAGAACTCAGGGCACAAGAGGTCAAGCTAACAAGTGTCCCTACCTTTTCAGTTGCCCCCAGGAATACAACTATCTTGGTTAGCCCTTCCTTCACCGTCAAGGAAGGTAGTTCTGTGAATATCACATGTTCTAGCAATGGCCTTCCAGCTCCGAAAATCCTGTTGAGCAGGCAGCTAAATAATGGAGATCTGCAGCCTCTTTCTGAGAATACAACTCTCACCTTAATTTCTACAAAAATGGAAGATTCTGGTATTTATGTGTGTGAAGGGATTAACCAGGCTGGAGTAAGCAGAAAAGAAGTTGAATTAGTTATCCAAGGTGAGCAGAGTGTGATTAATGACTTATTACTGCTATTATTATTTTGGTTGTGTTACTGGTTTTGAACAAAGTCCTCTTTAAAAAGAAAATTTTTACTAAAAATTATATTGAGGGTTTTGAAGAGCTAATGATGTTTCTTATGCATGGAAAGCACCAGAAATAGTACTTTCTCATGAACCATTCCAAGTCAATTATCCTAATTCTTTTAACCTCAGGTGGAATGCTGGCTCTAGGAACTGCGCCAGGAGTTTCAGTGACACTTCAGAGGCAATGATTGCTGTGTTGAAAAAAAGGATAGAAAGAGGTTTACATGTATTTGAAGATTGCTTAGGATTAAAACCACCATATCTGGCTTATTAGACTCTCAGTGGTAATATCACAAGGTGCCTGCTAGTATTTGCTTGGAAGCATAAGAAGGCACTTAAACCTTTTGTAAATTCTGAGGTTAAGAGTAGCAGTGACTGTGCCCTCTGATTCATCAGTTTGATGGCACAGAACCATTAGAGTGGATTAAGTTATCAGATCCAGACCCTCTTTCCAGCATGGAGAGCCAAGACTGAGAACAAAACAATTCCTAGTTGACAGGTTGAAGCCATAGGCAGTTTTGGGCAAAATCACGAAGAGACCAATTTAGATTTTTTCTCATACTTTCCTTTTTGGTGTTCAATGCCCTTTCTTTGTGGAGGTTTTCATTTTTTCTCTCACTCCTTAGTATTATTTCCACTAAGGTATTAGAGACTTTCTTGTTACCTCATCTCAGTGGTAATTTGTATTTTAAAGGAAGAACCTTGAAAGGGCAATGCACAATCTTAAAGAAAGCCCTTAGGATGGATGTCATAGTATTGTCACTCTGCCTGAGGAAAGAATCTCAAATCAAGTTAGAAAAATAGATCAACTTAAAGGGAATCCCACTCATAAGATGGTGATAGCGTACCTCCTTCCATGGGTTGTACATTAATAGACATGTTGTACATCAAGTACTTAGTTCAGTGCCTAGCATTTAGTAAATGGTAGTTGTAGTTGTTCAGGATGGTTAAGAAAGCCACCTCTGCACAGCTTAATTTCTTGATCTTGATCATTTATATTTCACTTAATCAGAGTGCCTTTTAAATTCTCTTTACAGTTGCTCCAAAAGACATAAAACTTATAGCTTTTCCTTCAGAGAGTGTCAAGGAAGGAGAGACGGTCATTATCTCCTGTACATGTGGAAATGTTCCAAAAACTTGGATAATCCTGAAGAAGAAAGAAGAGACAGGAGACACAGTGCTCAAGTCTACAGATGGCGCATATACCATCCACAAGGCCCAGTTAGAGGATGCAGGAGTGTATGAATGTGAATCTAAAAACGAGGTTGGCTTGCAATTAAGAAGCATAACACTTGATGTTAAAGGTTAGTTAATTTTTTGGTTTTGTTTGTTTTTCATTATCTTAAATAATAGGTCAGAAGTTTGGTGGACTGTAAAGAATTTCTAGGATTAGATGAATGAGTTGGGAAAATGAAACTGAGTTCCATGTTGATTGTGGTTATTTCTTAATGTTTTCTAAAATAATGATGCACAGCTGCTCTATCCTGTGGAATTTAACCAGGAAGTTGTCATTAATCATTGGCGAGTGTAGGGTTTTTATCTGTTTTTTTCAAAGTTGACAAGTCATTATTGGCCTCTGAGGTCTTGTACATCCTAAGTGTTCAAACATATTTTAAAAACCATTCCCTGGGGGTTATAAGGAAACTAAAGAAAGAGGATTGGCAACGTAAAAAGGAGGGCTCCGTCCAGACTCTTTTCCTTCCTACCAGAAAAGAATGCTATTCTCCGAATTTACAGTAACTGCATGTTTTCTGGATTCACTCTTTTCAGGCTTATAATCAAGAGTCACCATCTCGATGCACAACAACATCAAAGAATCTCTAGACTGCTTCCTTAGAAACTCAAGCCCCTTTTCCCTTCTACCCTGATATGATAGAGAAAGAGAAGGAGGGGGAAATGGTCTCACCAGAGAAACTTCTGGGACCCCTCAATCTTCTCACCACCCCTCTTGTGAATGCACAGTAAGACCTGTTGCTCTTATTGGTGTAAGCAGAATATGTCAGCCTTTTCTAATTGGTCTCCCACTCTATGGGTGCTAACGAGCTTCCACTGTGGATTAGAAGCCATAGCTGGAGTGAAGCTACCACAAAGAAATGCAACTCCCTTCTGGTACTTCACTATCAGAGTTAGCAATCATTTGTCAACGTAACGAGAATTCGAACGTAGGTCAGAAAACGGGTAAAATTCTACTCATCTGGCCAAATTTTTCAAAATTGCAAGACTTACTATATGTTTTCTGTCTACACAGTACCTCCTCGAAACACGACAATATCAATACACCCTTCTAGAAATGTTAAAGGAGAAAATATCTCAACTACATGTAAAACTTTTAGTCATCCTCCTGCAGTGATTATCCTGAAAAGAGTAGATATGGCCAATGAAGTTACTATGTATTCAAAGAATGAGACATGTACCTTGTATCATATCACTCAAAATGATACGGGGTGTATGTAATCGGTGCTTCCAAAGAGGTTGGGGATGATTCTGGATGGATTGAGATCTCAGTTATGAGTAGGATGAAATTCATTCATTCTTATTTTTTTTAACCCTTGATGCATCCAGGCCACCCTTAATTAAGCCTAGTCCCAGGAAATCAGACTCACGACATCTTTGTAATTTTGTTTGTAGTTAATGAATCTCTAAAAATATATCAAAGCTTCTCCACTTCTTAACTCTCTTGCTCTCACATTGTCTTTTCTAATTTCTTTATTAAACTAGTTATATTTGTCATTTTTCACTTATTACTTAAAAGAACAAGCAAACTATATTAAGTACTCAGCTAGAAATTCAGGGCCCCAAATTAAATGTCGTTTAAAATGACTACAAATAAATGGAGAAAAGAATCTGATATTTTTCCTGGGTATTTTAAACTACTTTTCCTTTGTATTTGGCTGAGTTTTAAAGTTATTTTTGTTTTGATTTCTGTTGGCTTGAATGTATCCCAATGATAGAACTAGTGGGGTGTCTTTAGGGTTTTCAGTGTTTACACAGCTAATAGAAAATTGCATTTGAAGGTAGCTTCGTAACCGACTCAGCAGCAATTTGTGTTTTACTGCAAATGCCTGAGAGGAAAACTGAAAGCAAAAGATAATATTTATTAAATTGTAAAGAAATCAATAAGAGTGGAAATACCATTGTCTAACATGTCAACACTGACACCTAATTATGATAATGGACATCACATTAAAACATTACTCATTTACTTTGATTAGTTCTGCTCTAGCAAAGGAAACTAGAAAAACAAGGCAATTATCATTATGTTTAGGATGAAGTGTTTTTAACTTTAATAATTTGAAAAAATTGACTTCCCATCGTCTACTCCAGTAAGTGTTTTCTACTTGGTTGACCGCCAGTGATTAAAAACCTCTAGAGCAGGGGTCCTCAACTCCCGGGCCGTGGACTGGTACCAGTCCCTGGCCTGTTAGGAACCAGGCTGCACAGCAGGAGGTGAGCGAGTGAAGCTTCCTCTGTATTTGCAGCCACTCCCCAGTGCTAGTATCACTGTCTCAGCTCCATCTCAGATCATCAAGCATTAGATTCTCATAGGAGCATCAGTCTCTGATGCCTGAAAGGTTGGGGACCGCTGCTCTAGAGGGAATGTAGTGATCACCAAAGTCAGATCACTCGTTTATTCCAGGACTGAGACAACATATATGCCTCCTGAAGAAACTCGTGTGCTCATATGATGCTGTACAAACATAAGTACAAATAGAGATGAATCTCCAGTAAATGTCATGCTATTTTCTTCAGATGTTATTGTAAGGTTAAGATGTTAAATAGTATTTCAGCTGTCAGATGATTCTTAGTAAATTAGATAGAGTACTAATTTTAGTTTTTATATGCTATTACTATCTGTAACCAATTTACAACTAAATGACAAAATGATAGAATGTAAAAAGAAAAAAATATATTACTATTCAAAAAATATATATTGGGTGTCAACTACTCAAAGCAGTGGGCTAGGTACTTGCTACTCAGTGGTGGACCAAAGAGAAAACAGGTGCAAGCCCTCATGTAACTTACAGTCTGCAGGAGGAAACCAAATTTAACAGATCCTCATACAAACAGATGTCTAATTACAAACCGTGAAAGTATAGTGGGTTATAAAAGTACATTAGGCTTCTGAATTTAGGCTGGGGAGATGTGGGTCAGAGAATGCCTCTTTGAGTAAGTAATATTAACACTAAACCATGATACTATCCAAAAAACTTCCGTTTATCAAGAGATGATATAAATGCTGAAGAGAAGTAGCATATATTAAGATACCCTACTTCAGTGATACGAAATGTAGTGTTTTCTGTATATCTCTGAAAAAGCCCCTGGCAATTATTTCTCTTACTATCTTATATATATTGTTTGACTACATGGTTATACTCCAGTTGTTACAGGGATTTTCTCAGAGAACTGGTTAGTAATTTCAATTCGTAGTGATCAGAGTCCTAGTTCTTTAGTAGATATTTATATTTCTCAAAACAAACACTCTTCTCCAATGTTTGTTCTTGTAAATGAGCCCTAAAAGTTACACCTTTTATTTCATTCTATAATCGAACCTGAATCTATTTGAATTCAAGTTTGTGGAAGGTAATTACTGTCATTATGACCCATCATGACCATAGCAACTACTAACTGATTATTTTCATAATTTAGAAGAATATGCATTTGAAGTCCTATGGGCCCTTATCACTGCTTTGATTCACTTGTCTTTAGAGAATGAGTTGACTGTTAAAATAAAACATGTAAATATTATTATTACAGTTTCTTTTTGTACTAGACACTAATCACTTCCATTTTGTTATTTTCCAGGGAGAGAAAGTAACAAGGACTATTTTTCTCCTGAACTTCTCATGCTCTATTGTGCATCTTCCTTAATAATACCTGCCATTGGAATGATCATTTACTTTGCCAGAAAAGCCAACATGAAGGGGTCATACAGTCTTGTAGAAGCACAGAAATCAAAAGTGTAGCTAATGTTTGAAATGTTTGACCAGAGACACTATTTATCAGTCTAAATCTTTAATACTGCTCATCATTCCACAAGGAAAACAACAAGCTGAGAGTCCAGACTTCTAATGTAGTGAACTCCTGGAAAGAAATGGCTGTCCATGTTTCCTGCTGTGAGCAAGAAGCCAAAGGAAAACTTTCTGCCTAAAAAATAGGCACCACCATAGAGATGTGATGATTGGAGTAGTTCCTTGATGTGTATATACAATAACGTGATCTGTATATATGTAAAATAAAAGTATGCCGTAGCGAGATTCCTTGAGATAACAATACTCTCTAGTCAGATCTCGAAAATAATTAAACAATATGGCCCGAACACATTGTTATAAATTAATGCATCTTTAAAAAATTTTAACATTAACATCGACTGGCAGCTGACCTATGTCATCTTTTTATATTTAATTTCCTTTAACATAATGTTATTCCTATAAAAGTCGCTGACAACAACTTCATGTTTGTAAAGATGCCAGGATTTTATATTTTTATAGGCAAGTGATAAACTAAGAGGGCACTGAGTTGACTTTCAGGTACTAAACACTTCAGCCTGTGGTATAATGGTTGACTGGATTTCTCTGAATGGTACTGACATGGTACGGAGACGTTTTATGATGTTGTTTGTTCATTGGACTCTTGCATAGTTTTCCCAGTGTAATCTAAAAATGCAACTTCTTTTGATCTTTTTTTGTAAATATTTAGTCTTTTTGTATAGTAAAGTGATGATTTCTGGAATGGTAAGAGTTGTACGTTTATTTATTATAAACTACCTCCTTTAATCACATTGTAGCTTTTTTTGAAATCTCAAGTTCCAAGGATGAAGAGTTTAAACCTATAGAAATAATAAGTAGCACTCAAAGTGTTCTTCAGAATGCTTTTATCAGAATCACCATGGGAACTTAATAAAAATCCAGATTTCTCGGTGCCTTCTTAACCTATTGAATTGAATTGAAATATCTGGTTTTATGTCCTTGGAATCTGCAATTTAAATAATTAAAAATATAGCATACACGAAGCAGTGAATGCAGGTAAATGCACATGTGTTAACGGGCAACAAATGAACGCCATGTGCATACCACTAAGACCAAGAGCTAGAGCATTCTTATTCTTCAGAGCCTCTTAGAAACCTCTCACTGAGCAGTAACCAGTATTTTGAATTATACATCAACCGTTCTCTTGCTTTCTTTGAAGGTTTAATACCTATATAGGTGGCCCTAAGTAGAACATATTTACTTTTGCCAGGTTTTGAATTTTATATCAATATAATCAAACGGTATATTTGCTCGTGACTTTATTCTTTCACTCAAAGTTGTGTTTTTGCATAATTGATCTATGTTGTTGTATATAACTATAGATCATTCACTTTTATTACTCTATAGTAGTTACTTCGCTATATTACAGCATAGTGTTACAACATTTTGCCACAATTTATCTATTGTTGATGGATATTTGTTTTTTTCTGTTTAATTTCATATTATGAACAAAGCTTCTCTAAAGACAATTTTACATGATCCTAACTAACACTGAGTTAAGGAAACCATTACAAAAGAGTACACGCTACATGGTTTTATTTATAAATAGTTTAAAAGTATGCAAAATTATCGTGTGGTGTTAAAATCAGGATATTAGTTAGTTACTCTTTAGGTGATACTGACTGGAAAGGAACAAGATGAAACTTCAGGGCTTCTGTTTTTGTTCTGTTGCTTGATCTAGGTGGTGATAATTTTAATAAAATATACATTTAAAAAAAGCAGATTCATGAAAATCAAAGGCTTAGAGGGAAGAAATAGGGTTTATGCATTGGGAAGAGAACAAAGAGAAAGGGATGAACTTGCCCATCCCCTCTCTACACATTTCATCTGTCCTAGGGTAATAAAGAGAGGAATGTGATAAGACCCTATAGGAAATGGTTTATAACCTGTGCTGAACAGGATAATCTGGCTTGAGGAGGCCTCCAATGAAGGAGATAGCTCAGCATGGAGCGACTAGGAAGCCAAAGTCTAAGGAGAGATCACTGTTGCTATTCACTAGAGCTCATCACATCACTTTTGCAGAGAAGTCAAGTCAGCTGTCCTCATCACTGCCTAGAGAAAGCCTTCTAATAAACGGCTGCCTGTAAACTTTGTTCATTTTCCAGAAAGATGCCTGTTCATGACCTGAGACTTTGCTGACTCCCAGCCATTGACAACAGCTCAGGGCATTTATAAAGTCCTTTTCAGTGATGGTGTGAGAGAAAAAATAATGGATCATTCTCTCCTAGAGACCAAAGAGGTCCCCACTTTCTCTTGCTGATCTGGGTTACAAGAACCTTTAAAGGGGAATGGCAGAAATGAGATTACAGATGAGCAAAGGAAGACTTGTGTCTTATACTTCCACTGAGAATGCCAGATCTTTAGGTAGAGGGGAATTTTTGTCTGACTCTCCTGGCCTCTGAAGTGGGCGTGATTTGTATTGGCCAACACTGTCTACTTTTCCTGGCTGACTGGTGTTACGGTGAAGGCACCCATCAGGGCTTTCCCTCTCACGTAGATATCCCTCATATTGTCTGTAAATCTGAACATGAAATTAACTCATTCATTTGCTTAATACTCTAGTGGGAAAGAAAGAAATGGTTGATTGGGAGAGGTACATAGAAAGCACTTTCAGGATATTAGTGAACTTTCATTTCCCTCATAATATGTTTCCTAGTCTGATTTTCTTAAAAACGAGTTCAGATCTTGCTATAGACTTTTGATACTATTGGTTCTCAGCTGCTGGGACATTTTTTTAAATGTATGAGACTGGCAAATTTGCCATCTACTACTCTGATACTGTGATCGTCAAATCAAGACTAAAAAACAGGTTGAAAAAAATTCATGACAGTCCACCTCTTATAACCATTACCATCACTTTTCCTGCTCTGGGTAAATGATATAAAAAAAATATCAAATAGAATTCAAGATTGTTTATAAATAAAGGAAAGCTGAACAGGCCCACAAAAACCTCTTGATGAATGCAGATTCGAATAATGGTCTAACACAGCAAATTCTTCTTGTGCCTAAGATGGAGAGTTTCTATCCATAAACTTTAAGACCTCTTCCAACTCTCAAGCACAGTGGTTCTTTAACAATTCACACATGCATCGGGGAACTTTTTTTCACCTATTTTAGTGAATCTCTTTTTGTATTTAGCCAAAGGCCTAGGGACCTTCTTTTTATTCCTTGCTCAATCAACTTTAAGACAGTTCAAAGGGAAAAATTAAACATTTAAATTAATGCCAATATTAAAAAGTAGTTTCTGTGAGGATTTCATAATTGCCACTCTTCTCTGCAAAGAAGAAAGGGGCATTCGTATTGTCTTTCCAAATGCCTTTTACTTTAGCCATAATGATAGCTAAAATTTCACTTCTCGAAAAAAAGTGTGCAGTGGCTTTTCAGATTTTGTTGCTGTTGAAGAACGTGGTTTCTCTCAAAAGAGACTAATCCGTAAAGCCTGTTTGAGAAGAGTAAAACAAATCGAATGGAATCAAACAGGGTTTTTAAATTTATTTTTATTTTTTTTTAGTGAGGACAAGGCTATTCAGAGACAGTACTTCATTGTTTTTAGTTATTTCTTCATTGGCAGGGACTCTTGGGGATATTGTGAAGCAAAAAAAAAAAAAGAAAAAAAGAGTTCATTCAGTGATTGAAAAAAGCAATGATTCAGTCTTGAAAAGAAAAAGACTAAGGAGATGACAATGACTTTGTGGAGTAAAGGGAGCACGACAAATCGCTCCTAAATTAAACCGTGTTCTAAAGAACTTCAACACACTTTCTCAAATGAAGGTTTCGGTCTTTAAAAAAAGGATGTGTAAAATCATAATTTTTAATTAAGGATGTTATTACTATCTTTCTTTTATCCAGCGTGCGTGCAATTAAAATTCATTCAATTACCAGGACATTGGATGCTATTATGCTGAAAACACAAGAAGTAATATTAAGCATAGAACATTAAATGCATGATGAAAATGAACATTATTACTTTGACTTGAGGTTATATTCAGTATTTAGAAATTTATCACAGGAAGCCTACTTAAAAAGCAGCAGACTCAAGGAGTTAGTTGCTTTTTATTGGAGTTTCTGTCATTGCCTTGCCAAGATTTGTGAACGTTTTTTTCACATTACCATGAAAATCACTTTATGCTCCCAGGCAGCAAACTGAACAAACAAGTTCATTTCCCTGATGACGGTCTCGTAAGGTTTTGCTTCTCCTTATTCGTTTGAGTTCCTCTTATTTAAGTGTTCTCATCATTTCAGAGTTAACCCTTAATGTCCTTGCATATCCTCTGGCCATTTAGCAGTGTCCTGCCAATATTTCCCAAACTTGCTTCATCATGAGAATTACATGGGGTATTAATTAAAAATACAGAGTCTTGCACCCAATCCCAGACTACTGACTTAGAATCTTTATGTAAGGCCTGGAAATCCAAAATTTTAAAAAATATTCCTGAGGATTCTGATGTCTGTATTTGGGATACAATATTCTAATAAAACTAAGTGTTTAGCTCTTCAATGCATTTTCGCTTCTAGAAAGCATTGACAGAGCCTTGTTAGAAGGATTTCTCTGGTCTGCAACCATCTCTTCTCACCTTTTCTGGAACCTTGGTCTGTCATTCAAACACTTTTCTCTGTCTTCAACCTCAAATCTCTACTATCTCTTATAGGAGTTTAAACTCTTTCATCTTTAAAAAAAATCTGACAAAATTTTCTCAATCATGCCCTCCTACTAGTTACATCCCTATGACACCTTCATTTTCACAGTGAGATTTTAAAAGAGATAACCACTACTTCTCAATCACTGTGCAATAAACTCTTATCTAGCTTCTGAATCTGCTCAAAGTCAGTAATAATCTCTTCTTAACTGATATAATAGGAATAATTGAAATACGAATCCAGTGTATTTTAATTTCTGATAATCTCTAATTCCTATTGCCCCAAGGCTTCCCCACTCACCCATTCATTGCTTTATGGAGGCAGAGGGAACCCAGGTGATAAAGAATCACTACTCTGTTTTCAATTTCGAGCCAGATTTATTTGAATCCATAGGAAGACCATGGTTTTAGAAGGCAGACTCTATAGAGAAAGTAAAGCACTTTTCTACATTCCAAAAATTCCCCTAACATAATAAGAGATTAGAGATCTAATATCAAGCTCTAGTGAGGAGAAGACAGAGGATGTATGGTAAGCCCCTGACACACGGATGGGGAAAAAGCTGTCCTAGGGCTGAGAAGGAGTCAAGAAAGGGAAAGGAACAGCAAGATGTTAGACACAAATACCCTTGCTATTCTCTGCTTTGGGGTCAAATATTATTGGAAGAGCACTGCAGCAGAATCATTAAAATAAGTTAAGGGAACCAGTGAAGCTCCATGAATGAGGTACTATTAGAGCTGTGTCATGAATCAGTAAGATGTAGACAAGTCGCTGTGAGGAAAAGCAGGGACATTCGAAGGGAAGAGGAAAGAATGAGCACAGCTATGGAGGAAACAAAAACCTTAGACTTCTCTGTAGAGAAGAGTAAATCGGTCCACTTAGCAGAAACACGGGGGAATGTGAAAGAGTACAGTAAGAACTCAGATTGGAAAAGTAAGTTGTAACAAAGTGTGGGAGGCCTTGACTACTAGCCTGACGAGTAAGAGTCAGTGAAAGGGTCTAAGAGGATCAGGGCAGTGCTGAAGGATGTTGACACTTAATGTTTGTCTGATATTTTCTGTCTAT